GGGGGTCGGTTTGGCCTCATGAAGGTTTTTCAGGAATGATTTTCGAGCGGTGCGGTGTAGCCGCGCCACATTTTGCATAGCTGTACACAATTGAGCGGCAGATCGTTTGCTATCAACAATTTAGATGTACCTTGTAAGGTCGCTGACCTATGGCAGGTCAAAATCAGCTCATGGATTCAACGAAGCCAATTTCAAGGGAATCGTTCAATATGATGCAGCAGCGGAGTGTTAGACGAAGCCATACAACCCTGAGATATGCATGGGTTCGTCAACACTTTCTTGCGCAAAAGAAGATAATAAAACGAACAAAGAACATTGACCTAGGTTCAGGTATGAAATGCAGACCAACGTCAAAACCAGCCCGTTTTATTGCTCTAGGGTTAGATGAATGAGGTAGTTTTGGTGCTCATTCGAATTGATTGATAACAGGAACTGCATTGTACATCTTCCATGGACATCTTAAAGCTCAGAATAGGTCACTGACCTAAATGACACAGGTCAACATTTTGTTGTCATGAACATTCTGCCTAGCGTAAACATTGCCGCCTATTCAAATGCAAAACACAAAGCAGTCTTGCATGATTTTGGCCACTATGACCTTCGAAATGTTAAGTAAAGTCAATAGCTTTAAACGAGAATGTGACATTTTGCTTCCAACGGTTATCTCGGTTTTGGGGCACTTTGGACAGCAGCCTGGAGCTTGACCTTGCATGACCTTTTTGACCCGAGTCATGATCTAGTTGATCCAAGTGAGTTCACGTACAGGCCAATACACTCTGCGAATTTGGTGTCTCTAGCTTTTTTAGTTTCTGAGATCGCAGAGAGGTCAAATTGCCCCCACCCGAGCGAAGGATATCCAACCGGCCACCCGGGTGCGTGTTAAGTCACTTCATGAAAACAGAAAATGCATGCGATAGAAGCGAGCAAGGAGTGACATAGAAGACAAGTTCACTAGTTCATACTAGCCGAACATGAGCGATACCACTTACGGATCAATCATGTTTGGCCTACAATTATGGAGTTCATAGGGCCTAGCTGTCTATAGGTGGACGTCCTTTCATGTCTGTACGAAAAGCTTGGGCTGATCAACATAAGTTTCATCAGGGGGGGGGGGGGGGGGTGTTCGAATGATCATGTTTTACTGCACAAATTGCCCTACACTACTCATGCATCAAAAGTATAGGCTGTGACTCGCTATTTGCTTATGTTACGGCCATGCAACCTCGCAGGGATTGCGCTTCATCACTCGAGAGTTCAAGAGCTAGTTGGAATCTGGGCATATCTGAAATATACGAGCGAACGAAATTTTAAGCGTGCCTAAAACGTAGCAGCGTGACATATGAATAGTGTTACACAATTGATCATAACAACGGCTTTGGCATCGCGAAGCGAACTGAATGGGAAAATACCTTATTCGGCATTCTTCCGTACGCTGAAAAACGATACAACGAGCGCAATCCCTTGAAGAAGTTGTACAGTTTAGGTTAATGAAGTGCAGCAAGACATCCACAGCCCCAAACAAAGAGGAATGAGCGTAGGTCCCGGCTGGACGCACAGTTGGACGCAACATGATGACCTTCACGATGCGAGGTCTTCGCAGGCCAGTGGGAGGTCAGAAACCCGCAGGCAGGGGTGCTGGGACGTCCCTGTCAGATGCGTGTACGACCTCAGGTGACCGCCCTGAGGTCAGGTCAGGTCATGGCCTCTCCAGACCGTCCCCGGGGTCGCGGACCGGCGTCACGAACGGCGCTCACGCACGCGCGCACACACTCCTCAGCGCACACGCACATACCTCGGCGTGTATATCCATAAGCGTAGCACACGCGCATTCACACACGCCAGCACCAAACGCACGGGTCACAGGAACGCATTCGTGCATAGATCGACGTGCGTACATGTGTACACTTATGCACTCGCCAAAGGTGAAAGGCGTACAGGTGGCGACATTTGCATTGTTCTAGAACTGTTGGCGCTAAAAGATTAACATTTTCGGAACAATTTTCGCCTTGATCTTGACAAGAGTGGTGATTAATTATTTTTGCAAGCCCAGTCCCTTCAAAGGTATCCAAACCAAAGCAGCGCAAGCACCCGCAATGACGCAAATACACGTGACAGACTGTGGCCCCCAAATCTCAAACATTGCACTAAGCAGATATTTTGTAATGCATGATACACTCTGGCCAGGTAACCCAGACATATTTTAGGACCATATCAGGTTTTTTGCCCAAGGATTTTGTTTACTGAGTAAGCGCGAGCGCTGTCGTCCCACAGGGAATGTTGCAATGCAAGTGAGAATTCACTTTTGAATTATGGTGATAGTTATCATAACTATTGCAAGTACGCCGTCAGCTGCCCTTATTTCTGATTTGAACAAAGTGGTGGTCAGGCGCGGCACAGCCTCGGTTACATGCCGAAGGAAAACGCCTTCTGCCCTGTATTTGGGGAGCAAGGCTGCCCCCACCGAGGGTTCTTTTCTTCCGATAATCATTCCGAATGGGCCATAATTGGTTAATGGGCCTCGGCGTGAGTAAGCTGGCTGCTATTTTGGTTACGGTCGAAGTTGTCGCCCCGTAGACGCGATCTTTTTTCACATTATCGATTTCATTCAGGACGATCGTCAAGATAACGATTTCGACCGGGGAAACCTACACGAATGGAAGGTAAGCTGTTCAACCGTTGAATTTCTTTCTTTCCCCAAAAATGAAATCTACATGTTGCTGAAATGATAACTTAGATGAAAATAGCAGAATGGAGTAAAACAGAACTCCTATATGACTGTCCAGCACTACATTCTTCTCAAACCTTACAGAAGTTTGAGTGTAAGACCGCTGGTTTGAATCGTTTGCACCCCCAATTGATTTGTCAGATAACATTGTCACTTATAGCCTCTAAAGACATGAGGAGCACAAATTACACATAGCAACTAATCTTATCAGGTATAAACATACAAAATCCGCGATGGAAAACGTTTCCCGGGGTTATTTGTGCAGACGCGAAAGACTTGAATCACGGGTTACATGTACACAACTTCTTGTGCATCTAGCTGTTTCAGTGGGTATCGTGAGGGGCTATCTCCTCCTAGTCAGGTAAGGATAGACTACCCACTTAGCTGCCGCTCTTCACCCGAAATAGGAGGCAACGTGCAGACTAGACAAGCGCGAAGTGCACGGCCGGCCGGCCAACGCTTAGCAGCGCTGACTGGTGGAGACTGATATGACTAGAAATCCCATCTAAGGCCGCTGCGCGTGGATGGCGCTGCGGCGTTCGAACACAGATTACGACGATCACAAGACAAGAATCTACACTCTTGACAGCCTCATATCGGCCGTCCGCTTGCTGAAAACAGCATTCCGCACGTAAGCACCACACTCAAGACGTTTATCAACGACCCACAGCAGGACACACGGGCATCCAACAAACGGCGCGGTATGAACAGTGGCGTAGCCAGGGTCTCGCCCCCGAGAGGCCAAATCGGGTCACAGCGGCGTAGCCAGGGTCTCGCCCCCGAGAGCCCAAATCGGGTCACAGCGGACGCTTTCAGCGAAGGGGACTACCTGTTCATCGCGATATGGGGCCCAGCCTTTTTAATTCGAAGGACCTTTTGGTAAGTAAGGGCCAGTTTTGCTGGTCCTCCTGACCTTTGAATCAGCCAACGAGTCCTGGACCCGTTGGCCCCAAAGATCCCAACCACCTAAAGAGAGTAAGGGGGATAGTGGTGGCATGGCCCCATAGCCTGGAGGGCGCCGAGGGCGGGAGGAGGGCGCCGAGCGTGTCCCAAGGAACTGCGGGCAATAGGTCATGAATTCCGCTCCCGACAACGTTAAGTGGCCGCCATAACAATTGTTTACCATGTCTTGAGGAGTGTTAAATGTCAAGGAATCTGAAAGGCCTCCGGTGGTCCTCAGCAATTGATGATGACTTTCAATGACAGGTTATTACATTTTCAACGTTAACTAGAATTTAAGAATTCAGAAATTTCACCGCAACAGAAATTCAGAAAAAGGTGTCAAAAAAGTATCAGCTTGTACAGCTGAAAATTCCTGGCGTCGAAGGCATAGCTGAAAAACTAAAGCCTGGTCTGAAAGATAGAATGTGATACACAATAAGGGCAGAATACCTTAACATTCGGTACAAAACATCAAGAATTTCTGTCATGAGGCTCGCTGAAAACTTCTCCACGCCAATTATATATCTTGGATGTATAGCTTTAAAAGCCAAACGTCCAAAAGAAAAACGTGCCAACATCATGCGTGATCTTTACATCCTATTAAATGAAAAAGGAAGCTCTACGCGGTAGCTGGATTTCCAAATAAAACGTCCGGTCTTAGCGACAAGTACGCCCAGATTTACGGCCGCCATTGTCCAGCCCCGTCCTGACATTTGGATCGCTTCAGCTGAGCAGTACGGCTCTGCGCTGTTGGGCTGCGACCTCCCGCTGCAGCGTCTGGGCAGGACACGACTCCCGAGGCTCGCGCCGCCTGCTGGAAGCCGGTCATGCCAACACCAGCTACGTCCATCATCACCGAACGCGCCCATGAGAGAGAGGTGTAGTGCTGGAGTCGCCTTAGACAGGCCGCCAGCGATAGGCGCGTACGATTGGTGAGTTAACGCATCACCGACTCCGCTCCTGATACTGGACGTCAGCAGCCGCGGCCGGCATCAGCGGCCTCCCAGCAGCCGCGGTCGGCACCATCAACCTCAGCTTCCACGGGCAGCCCATTCTCACCTCCCTCCTGGGCTCACGTGGGCAGCCGAGGCTGACACTGGTGCGGTGTGAGGCTGGCACTGGTGCTGGTGCGCTGTAAGGCTGGCGTTGGTGCGGTGTGAGGCTGGCGCTGGTGCGGTGTGAGGCTGGCACTGGTGCGCTGAGGCTGGCACTGGTGCATTGTAAAGCTGGCGCTGGTGCGCTGAGGCCAGCGCTGGTGCGCTGTAAGGCTGGCACTGGTGTGCTGAGGCTGGCGCTGGCACGCTGCAAGGCTGGCGCTGGCGCGCCCCCGTGCTCACATCAGCGGCAGGTAAGCGGCGGGCCGGCCGTCGGCAGGCGCCGACCAGCACTCCCAGACAGTCGGCGGCGGCTGTAGCGCCACCTGGCGATAGGCCGGCTCCTCAGAAAGGGCTGGCAGGCCGTCCCAGAATGGGGCTGGCGCCGGGCCGGTCCACACCGGTACCCAGGGCAGCACTGCAACCACACGGCCACGCAGCAGCAGATTAGACCGGTGAGCAGCGTTCCACCACAGCGTCGCATATCGGTATTAGATCTCCGTGATTACGAATGGAAAACAAATGTCCGTGGCCTGCTGTGTGATTAGATCATTGAACATAAATAAAACAGTAATGCTAGCCTTATTCCTGGGGGAGAAAACAGGAAAATAAAAATATAGATGCTTCGATACTTCGGCAACATGCCTTCATCAACACGAATAACAGAAGTGGATTCAAAGCTGCCTGCCGATCATCCTCCATAATTTTTCAGTTTCTTAACAGCAAGCCACATTTCTTGCAGGGTGCCAACTTTCAGGGGATTATAGAAGGAGCAGTTGCCAGCCGTTACTGTGATACAGTGCACATGTAGCTAAGGATTAAAATATGCAAAAAAATAAGAGTACACGCAAGCGAACCCAAGCAAACAGGCATCACGCATCATGCTTCATTCAAAACATACAAGCGAGTCGAAGTAGACAGGCATCACACATCACACATTAATTATGCATGCAAGCGATTTCAATTAAACAGGCATCGTGCATCACGCGTCAGGAATCATTTACGCATGCAAGCGGTTTGAGCTGGAACAAATCACACATCAAGGCACATACAACTGTGCTCATACAGCTGAAGTCGTTTGCATGTTTAATTGGTGCGTAATGTGTGGTGCTTATTTACTTCAACTCGCTTGTATGTTTTGAATGAATCGTGATGCATGGCATCTGTTAGTTGAATTCGTTTGCATGCGCACGTATTTTTCGATATTCTAATTCTTAGCTAGACATGCACTGTATCGTAGTAATAGCTGGCAATTGCTTCCTGTTAAATCCCTTAAATGTTGGTGTCCTGTAAAAACTGTGGCTCGCTGCTTTAAAAAAAACTGAAAAATCAATTTGGATCATCGGCAGGCAATTTTTAAATCACTTCTGCTATTCGTTTTGATGAAGCCATGTTGCCGAAGTACCTTTATCTCCATTATCCTGATTTTTATTCGAGGAATTAGGCCATTACTGTTGTCTTACCTATGCGCATAATGCTCATAGATAGTTGTGAAGTGCGTGTGCACTTCATAACTTACGGAATCATGGAAAATGCCAATGTTCTTACCGAATAAACTTTGAACTGCAGTTTTGCATTCGCGTGGCAGGCACAATATGCAACCGCACTCATGCACGGCATAATGTACCGTGCTGAAACAGGCGCGTGATCATTACAGCTTGAAGATTCGTTACAGATAGAGCCATAAGGACGAAACGATGAAATAAACCAAACGGTTAACTCACGCGTCATAGATTGTGCGTATTGCTCCCACTGCTGCTGCTGAGGTCGCTGGTGCTGCTGGGTCGGCGTCGGCACCGGCAGCATCGCCTGCTGCTGTTGCTGTTGCTGCTGCTGCTGCTGCTGCTGTTGCTGCTGCTGCTGCTGACAGAGTGTCAGGTCCAGACCTGGATAGCTGGCTGACCCCATGTAGCCTGGGACCATGACCGGGGCTGCCGGCACCTCAGACGGACAGCAGAACGCCACCGGGCTCGTGCGCCTCCGCTTGGTGGCGCCCTCTTCGTCAAACTGCAGCCGCCGCTTGGCGGCGCTGCGATCGCCGCGTGCCGCGTCTGTCGTCGTGCGGCGTTTCTTGGCGCGGGGCGGGGCGGGCGAGACTGCCCTTTTGCGCGGCAGAGGGGAGTCCTCCAGCGGGCGACGGTCGACCGACGTGGACCCACCGTCCGCCGGAAGAGGCGTCACCGCCCCGACCAGCACCGAGCCGTCCTCCGAGGACAAGGCAGCGGACAGGTCACCGGACACGGCGCCGGGCACGGCGTCTGACGCGGTGCCGGGCGCGGCAGCGGACACGGCGGCGGACACGGCGGCACACAGCGGCTCCTGTTCCGCCCTGGACGTCGGGCTCGGCTCCGGGGCCAGCCCACTCTGCCAGCGCCGGTCCGACGGCAGAGGGTCGGCTGCCGGACCTGCCTCCGCCGAACCTGTCGCCGCCGCGCCGTCCGCCGCCGGCCCCCCGGCTGACGAGCTGCGCTCGGGCCGCGAGTCGGCGCTCGCCTCGTCGTCGGCGTCGGCGGCTGCGGCGTAGCGCTCCGTGTCGCTGAGGTAGCGTAGCAGCATCTTCTTCTTGTACTTGGGCGAGCCGGAGCTGGGCGTCGCGTCGCCGGCGACGGTGGCGGTCAGCTCGAGGGCCGCGTCGGCGGCGGGGCACTCCTGGCTGTCTGCTGCCCCGGTGTCGGTCCCGCCTAGGTCATCTGGGGAACGGCCCGAAGCCTTTAAGCGTTGCCTTACGCGAACGTATTGTCAGTGTGCCAATTTTGTCAATTGTCAAGAGTTGTCAGGTCGAGGTACCCTGACGGTGGTGGCACGCCTTGGTGTCACTGTCACTCAGCTAATGTCACTCGATTTACACCATTATCAGATGATCAGCAATGTGATGCAGCTTTCACCTCAATTAGACAAGGAAAAGGAAGGTGATTTGATCAGACAGATGTAGTAAGCAAACAGATGTGATGCCGCAAACTACACTAGCACTCGTCTTCCAGTGGTGCTGTACCGTTTTGTCGAAATTCGTAGTTTTTTGCGCCGCTTTCTTAACATCTGATTTGATACAGATTTTTTGCTAATCAACATTTCCGGAATGCATACGACACCGAGCATGGAGGTGTGGGTGGCAATGATGCCGGAAGATTGTCTGCTGTTGCTATTCAAAAAGGGCATAGCTTGGTGCAGGTCTTCACGAAAGTAACGATAGGCATGGGGTTGAATAACCAACCCGAATGTTTATCCTAGATCGTTCACAACAGAACACTAGCATTCCACAGGAAGATGGATTTACGTGTTTGTCAGCATAGTATCATAAAATGTATCGCATCAGATCATGTCATATCAGCATAGCATCAAAACAAAATCTAAAAAAAGATCTACACGCCCGTAGATCGGCCTCCCGCCGGCCTCAGAGCGTGGTGGGCATAATCCGCGATGAGCTATGGCTGTCAGCCGCCAGCAGAAACTAAGCTATGTTAAACCACGACATTCGGGTTGTTTCTGACGCAAACAGCCTAAATCCTACCGCTTTGCGTTGCACTCGTATGCAGAGCAAAGTTAAACGGTTCATGGACGCGGCAACATGTACCTGATGTGGCACATGTTGCCGTGTTTTACCTCCTGACGCCCTGGCTCCAAGCGTGAGCCCACAAGCATAAACCTGACATGCCGGACAACACGGAAGGCCCCAATAATGTACCTGATGTGGCACACGTTGCCGTGTTTTACCTCCTGACGCCCTGGCTCCAAGCATGGGGCCACAAGCATAAACCTGACATGCTGGGCAACACGGAAGGCCCCAAGAATCCGAGACAGTTAAACGCCACCAGTGGAGCGGGCGGATCTGGGCGGGCGCGTGGATAATGCCGCCGTCTTATTGATATCCGTTAATGAGCGTGCCCATGTCCGGTTCCCGACCGTGGCACAGCTGAGGGCTACACATCTGAGGCGGCTTATCAAGAGCAGCGATGGTCTTTCTACAACAGTGCCATGCAATTTCTTGTTGCGTATCGTATGTACTTATTTTGTGTTAGGATTCTGGGAGATCAAAGACAGGTGCATATCTTGGAGAGTTGGTAATAATCCTATGTATGATCTATCATAATGAGTACTTATATGAGGCACGATTAGTAGTAGTGATACTGAATATAATAATGAGCAATAGTATGAATCATAAGTAGTAACAATATGCCTCAGATGATGGGACATGACGTTGACTGAAATTGTTTTACCTAACTACAGGAAATGCCACTTCGAGTGGGTCAGACGGGTGACGCCGAAGCGATCTTTATGACCGAACTCTGCAACTTCTGCTTGCACCTCGATGTAGTTTCTGCATCATGTAATGTCATCTTTTGACGAACTCAACATGGCTGACCGAGATTAACCTCCGTCTGAATTTACCATTCTAACAGCACGAACGGATAGGGAAGGACGATTTTACCTCTGCTACTTTTTCCAGGCTTATCATGGCAGGGCTTTCGGGATCGGTGACTAGATTTGTGCTGCCAGGTTCATACAAGGTCCATATAAGGTCCACAAGTCGAGGCCACAGTTTCATTGTCTCCGAATATCTGACTTTTTCGGATTAGTTTGCCAATATCTACGATGTCATCCAACGGGGCAGCATAAAATTCGCACCGAAAAACGAAGCTCGTCCAGACTCGTTCCTCGTTGAAATTGCAGCGTATTGGCCATTGTTTTGTCGTGTTTTGAACAAATATGGATCATGCAGGGTTCCGGAAATGACAGTGCTGTCTGGATTCCTTGCCGGGTAAGATATATTGTATCCAATCCACCCGCTACCTAGGGGCTGTTTGCGGCATACTCACCGGCTAGCCGGGACTTGCCGGGTGGCTTATTCCAAATTTATGCAGTTGCTGGCAGTTTTGAGTCACTCAGCTGACGCACAACAGCTTTCTGCACCTTTCAGTGTAGTTTCGGCTGCATTTGTGTGCGCGTTTTGGGATGAGCACGACAAATACGTTGTTTTGCACATCGTTGGAAGCTATAACCATCGGTGCTGTGGTTTCACCAATGAAGTGTATGGAACGAAGTTTGCAGCGTACGATAGTGCACCTGAATTGATACACTACGCTGGTGCATTTTTAGTTTGTCGGGTTTATCCCGGCTGTTCGTCGTAAGAATTAGAGACTTTCCTATTGCGATGATCAATGGCAACGTCCGCTTTGTGGTCGTCTCGCATTTTACATGTCAAGAGATGATTTGACCCGTAGAGCTTTTTCGTCCTTTTTGTGGGCAGATGTCATTTGATTTTGATAATACAGTTAGACGGTTGGTCGTTTGTCTTGTCTTGGCTTGCTGCCAAAGCGTCTTGTCATATGTCGTTGTATTTTGTTTCCAATATCAGAAATTGGAAAACTGTTGTTCACCAACATCTGTCTGATTCGTACCAATTCCAAATGTAGTCCTGTTCAATTGCAGCAGTGATTATAGGCACGTCTAAGGAATGACCTTATGAAACTAATTTTGTAGCGTCGATGACACTCATTGTCAGCATTTAACTATCGTCCGTTATTAGTTTGCTTTCGGTACACAGCCGTTCTAAATTGCTGTCGTTGTCCATCAACAATCACGTCAAGAAAGGGTACTATGTTTTGCATGCTTAGTTCTTTTGTGAATTTAGACCAGACAGTCCTTCAAAGGTGTTTATGAGACGTTCTAGTTGATCGGTGTCCCTAACCTCCACAAATAAATCGTCCATATAGCGACAGTAAAATCTCGGCTTTATGTCGTCAGTGTGAAGTGTGTCGGCTTCTACATGCCCCGTAAAGAAATTAGCGAATACAGGTTCTAGAGGTGAGCACATCGCAGCATCATCAATTTGGCAATGCTTTCGTCCATCGGGCCCGCGGAGAGGAACTTCCAGTGGACAGGCTTTTGGTTATTGTTCAAGATGGCACTTTGAAATTTTGAAGGGAGGAGTGTTCGGTTGATTGTGCACACGGTCAATGATGATGAATGCAGTTCTTACAGTCTTTCAATGGGCACGTTTGTGAATCAATTTTCAACATCTAGAGAGGCCAATAGACCCTTGGTTGATGAGATCGCATAATATCAATAAACTCATTCGCTGACGATATGCTGTAGGACGTGGGAAGATACGGGGATAGAAGACTTTTAAGACGTTTTGTAATTCTATAAATTGCTGAAGAAATCTGTGAAATTATTGGACGAAGGGGTTGCCATTTTTGAGCTTTTAAAGGCATTATATATATATATATATATATATATATATATATATATATTGTTCGGCCAATGTGTGGTGTGTGTGTGTGTGTGTGTGTGTGTGTGTGTGTGTGTGTGTGTGTGTGTGTGTGTGTGTGTGTGTGTGTGAGTGTGTGTGTGTGTGTGTGTGTGTGTGTGTGTGTGTGTGTGTGTGTGTGTGTGTGTGTGTGTGTGGTGTGTGTGTGTGTGTGTGTGTGTGTGTGTGTGTGTGTGTGTGTGTGTGTGTGTGTATGTGCATCACTTAGGGCAAGTTAGGTTAGGTTATTTCCAAATCTTTACGGTTACATATGAAGATGAAGGTTCTAGTCACCTGCACATATCGGAATCTTAGCCCTTTCATCATTAGCTATAGCAGGAGGGAGCTCAAAATAAAAAGATACAGATTTTCCTAATCTCTCCTACCCTTTAGTAACCAGGTGTACTCACCTGTTACCCACCGATTTTATTTTGCCAGCACATAACTTTTAAACCATGGTAGCGTTTTGGGAAGTTGTGCCTCCAATCTTACTTGTTTGCGCATATAATTGGAAAAGTATCGGGAATGGACATAATTGCGGCTATGAAACCACAAGCAGTACCATTGTGTAGAATTATTGACGCTTCTATCACAATGTATTCAACATCTTATTCACAAACATGCCCACATGGCACCCGTACTTTCAAACACCGCGCGCCCATCCCAGCCCGCCGCACATTCGATATGAGTGGCCATGGTGCTGGGTATCAGGACTATGAGTGACGACCAACCCTTGAAGTCCCTGATTGTCGTCCCTGGCACTCGTGGCGGACGGACTCGGCGGTGGCCGACACTCACTCGGTTGTGGTGCCGCAGGCCATCCTGGATTGTGGATAGAATATCGATGAGTCATCGAATGAGAACTTTGCGTTGTAGGCGTAGGCTTTGCTGAAATTTGCGGATCACATTAGAGACAGTCTTTCTTCCGAAGCTATTACATTTCCACATGAATGATGCTGATGTGAAACAATGAGACCTTTTTAGATTGCAGACATCGCAAAATATTTTTAAAAACAATAAAGTGATGAGAGCCATGACACTCTTTTTGGCATCCTAACAAATGCCAAGTTCTCAGTCTTGAGAGCAGAAATTCTCATTTTCGGTATCAAATGGAGGATCGCAGCCTATATCTAACTGACCACGAAAACAATCTTGGAGCGCTGATATGGAATGAGATTGAAATTACACAGCACTGCGAATAGAGTACAAGAAAGCCATTTAAGTTACTTGGAACGAGGCCTAGAGCTGTGCAAAGTAAGATTAAAGAAGATATAAATCGCATGTTTTGTTCAATTGTAAGACCTCACGTGGAATACTGTTCCCAAGCCTCGGATCTCCATCCCACTCGAGTTCAAACCATATAGAGAAGGTCCAAAGACCAGCCAATACACTAGAATGGTGAAAGAGCCGATAAATTGTGAGCATCATTACCAGAGCGAGATCCCTGAATGACTGAGGAGTAGCATGGCTCCCGTGTGCAGTATTATTCGCCGCTTGAATATGACCTACAACACTACGTTTTTCAACAGAATCAGGAAACTAACCAATAGGATACGTCCATGGGGCTTAATTACAGTCTAGGTCAAGGAGGGGTGAAGTAATGGCCCAGAGGCTTAAGCCTTCGGCTCACGCGTGGGGGAACGCGCTCGATCGTCAGTTGCGTCATGGTCCCTGAGCGCCAGCATCACCTCTGAAGCCACCTGCGTTTCTTTAAGGAGTGCGCGGAGTCGTGCGCCACCTTCTTGTTTTAAAATGTCCAAGACCAGTATATCTGTTCAGAAAAATAAAAGACGAACCTCTGTGTGGATATTTGCGGAACCAATTCCTCCTTTCCATACTGTTCCTAGACGGCGTTCGCCCTCGAACGGAGACCCCACCCCTTTCTAGGAGGATCCCTTGCGTCCCGCATCTCTCTCTAGCCTGGCCTCACGACATGCCACATACTCACTCAAACGTGAGCGCTAGCGCCGCCGTTTACCGAAGCACATGAGAGGAGGATCAAAGTGTGTACTGAGCGTTTCAGGTTCTGGCGTACACGCAGCGAAGCCTCAAACGTCATCACATGAAAATAGGCAATTTGGCCTATTTTTGCCTCTGGCCCACCCACGGGTATTTGCGGGGGATGTCACGGGTGTAAGACATGTAAAAAAGAAATCGCCATGCGTAACGTATTCATCTCTTCGTGCCAGGCAATCTACAGATTGATCTAGATCGACCCCGATCTTCTGGGTTCACGTGCCCTGGCTGCAAATACGAACTTCTTTACTCGCGGCTCCGTCCTCCTCGCTCTTTTGCTCATCGACTGCCCGCCATTCTGGCAGATGCTCGGGATGTGCGTTATTAGCCATGGAATATTCCGCAATCAAATGGACAGGCGCTCGACGATAACGACATGTGCTTTCATCCAGAACGCTTCTGCAAAAAGCGAATAATTTCACCTCGCCTCCCCTCCACGTGAGGTAACGTCGCCGAGCATGTGGACCGCAGTCGTAACGGGCTCCGATCGCGCGGTAGTGAACACACATCTCGGGATCGTGTCTCTGCAGACGTCAACAAACATTTCCTGCCTTGCATCATAGCCCTGGAGCGTTTGATGTTCTCTGCATGTGAGATGGGTTCGCCTCGCGCGAAGTCCTCCTGTTTCACTGTGAGGCCCGGTACCGGATAGGCCTACCAGAGCTGCAGCAGGAGGAAATCAAGTGGCACGGCCGGCCAAGCTTGCGGCGGTACTGAATCACAAGCGGTGCGTGCTTGTAGCAGGATGCCACATTACTCGCGCAGGAATCGTCAGTGTGCGATGTGACACGGAAAGTGTAGTTCAAGCTTTGGTTGCGTTCATTGAAATCGTCAAGCTCCAACATTTGCCTTTAAGATTGCTTGCTCCGGCGCGCTTTTCAAAAACGACTTCTTGAGGTGCATTTGATCCGCGGACAGAATAACGACGCGGCCACACCACGCAGCGCGTTTTTTCCTAATGTGGTATCACGGGTGTCATCAGCATTTGAGGTAGCAGTGAGCAGCGGAAGATGTGGCTGGATCACACTGCTGCTCCGGCTGGGCAGAGCCGATGACGTGGGCGACCAAGCCATGAAAATCAATGGAGTCGCCACCGCCGCCAGCCAAAACCTCATGAGGTTCGAGTAGGAAGGTGGAGCAGACGGGTACTCCCCCTCCGTACTCCCCTCTCCCCTCCGATCTGTCAAATGGGACCGGCGGCCATGCCCCCCGCCCCCCCCCCCCCTGTTCCGGAACATAACCAGACAGAACACTCAGCTATCCTTTATTTCGGAACACTTGATGGCGCCATGGTCATAGATGTGCTTGTGCGTTGATGCATGCTTACGAGGGTGGCTGAGACGAGGGATTTGGGCACGGGCAGGGGGTACCCGTCTCCCAGCTTTGGGAAGAAGCTACTAATTCATCCCATGGTCTTTCGGAGTGGGAAACGAGGTGTACAAAACGCGTCTCCCTGCCCTTTGCTCCGTAGATAATTTAGCAGTGCTGTGGCTGGGCTCAGCGAAGGCTTTGTTGCCAACGCCGCTGTTGTATGTACTAACGTACCAACAGTCTGCGTGACCTTTTTTGAGAAAACAACCTGTGCGTTGGAACACGCACAATTTCAGAACGCAAAGTCATTGCATAATTTTCGTCAATGACTGCTGTCGCCGCGATCGCCGAGAAAGCCATTGGCAATGCCAGCTCTCCATTTCTTACTGCGCTCACCTCAATTCTGCTCTAGGCGCGTCTACCTCAGAATCAGCTGACCTCACGGTGGGTACCATATCTTTCCTTGTGTTTACCACTCACCAGCATCTTGTGGTGCCAGAAATGTCCCAGCTTCCGCAATTGAGGCAACGCTTAGTACCGGGTAGCAGTATCGCGCTAACGAAACCTGCACCCCTGCACCCCTTGCATCTATGCATCCCTGCCCGCCCGACACGACGCCAGCTTACTCGTGAGTCCTCCTGCGCTCACGTGAGTCCGGTGGCCGCCGAGCCCGGCCGTCACGTGCCCCGCTGCGGCGGACAGCCGGGTGTCACGTGGCCCGTCCCCACCGGCGGCGGCCCCCGCCAAGCGAGCCGGCCGGCCGTCTGGGTCTCCCGCGGCCCGCCGCCGCTGGGCGCGCCCGGACGCGCGCCGACCACGCCGCGCCGGCCGCCACGCCGGCGGCGACGGACCGCGCGCGCCGCGGCCGACACGGCGGCTTTGCTCGGCTCCGACCGACGACCGACTCGACAGGGAGAGGGGGGGGGGGGGGGGGGCGGTCGGGGAGTGGTTGGTGGTCGCGCCAGCCGAGGCCCAGTCGTGAGGTGTCGAATGATTTGGTATTGCCATGTGCCCGTGGTGATCGCAGATACGATGTGGACCTAGCAGTGAATAACGGCTTTGCACAGCTGAATGACGAGCCAAGAATAGTGCATAATTTGTCCAACGCAACACCACAGTAGCAAGGAATCTCGCGGGGTCGTTGGGTCGCACAACTAGGTAATGGGTTCCTGTCCAAGATGTAAATTCCTAAGTTCGTTGCCATCGATACCTCAACAGTTCTTTGCGGAAGAGTTACGAGACCGTGCAAGAGGACGTGTTTCTCCAATGTCTACACACACTCGTTTTGTTTATACGCTCTGGAGACCACGTGCAGGCACTAAGGCAGCTGTGGCCGGCTCCTGCGTCAGAGACGTCCTCTCGGACTGCATAGAACAGGCCAACTTGTCAGTTGCCGAGTCGGAAAATATCTGAGGCATCCAGACACGGTCTGGCAGTGCCACTGAGCGTGAGACCGGTCTAGCTATGCGTTTTCTAGCGAGGATTGATGACGGTGAGGTCGGAAACGATCTGACCTTGCCGATGACATTCATCGGGTCAGATGACGTGACACAAGGTGTGGCGCAACTCCAAGGTCATCTGAATTGCCGACATTGTTGGGACTAGCTGTCTGTTCTGACTTTGCGTTTGCGCCGCCTCAGAAAGCTTCACACCCTTTCCTTTCTTTTGTCTTTAGCATGCTACGCCAGCTTATAACATGCCCACGTTTTGGCAAGATTTAGTTTGCTAATTTCCCAAATTGATTGCCGCCAACTCCCTCATCACACTGCAGCCCTCCAGTTTGTCTGCGCGTCAGACAGAGGTGAATGAGACAGACTGATTGACTTTCACGCACCATTGTCAAGTGGCACGGCTGGGCGACATGTCACGCCGGATCGAACGCTCGGGTTCGACTCCATCCGTGGGAAGTTTTCACTGTGCCTGGCTTCTGCCAGAGATGGTGACGCTTACCTCACCGGTCTGTGGCGCCAACTCAGCGAGCATCACGTCCCATACCTTTGCCGGCTTGGTCGTTCCAGACCGAGTCCTCGGAGGACAGCGAGAGGAGCTCGGCGTTGCCCTTGACGCAGGAGTTGTAGAGGCGGACCCGCTCCTGCCAGGGCAGCAGCTCGCCGCTCACCACCTGCTTGAGGCGACGCCGCGCGTTGGCGAACCACGTGGACACCTGGCCGCAGGAGGGCACGGACCGGCTGCAGCGACGGAGACGGCATGACCGGCACACGCGAGAGGTCGTGATGGAACACGTGCACACGTGACAACAGACCCATGTGCAGGGACGCGGTGGAGTGCGGGAAGACATGACTGGCACGCGTGCCGAAAGTGGGCTAGCGGCCGTCACACGGGTCGGGGTATTTCAACACGTGGGCTAGCGGCCGTCACGCGGGGCGGGGTGTTATGACACGTGGACTAGCGGCCGTTACACGGGCGGGGTGTGACGGCACGTGGACTAGAGGCCGTCACACGGGTCGGGGTATTACAACACGTGGGCTAGCGGCCGTCACGCGGGGCGGGGTGTCATGGCGCGTGGACTAGCGGCCGTTACACGGGTGGGGTGTGACGGCACGTGGACTAGAGGCCGTCACACGGGTCGGGGTATTACAACACGTGGGCTAGCGGCCGTCACGCGGGGCGGGGTGTTATGACACGTGGACTAGCGGCCGTTACACGGGGCGGGGTGTGACGGCACGTGGGCTCCCGGCCGTCACACGGGTCGGGGTATTTCAACACGTGGGCTAGCGGCCGTCACACGGGTCGGGGTATTACAACACGTGGGCTAGCGGCCGTCACACGGGTCGGGGTATTTCAACACGTGGGCTAGCGGCCGTCACGCGGGGCGGGGTGTTATGACACGTGGACTAGCGGCCGTTACACGGGCGGGGTGACGGCACGTGGACTAGAGGCCGTCATACGGGTCGGGGTATTACAACACGTGGGCTAGCGGCCGTTACACGGGCGGGGTGTCATGGCACGTGGACTAGCGGCCGTTACACGGGGCGGGGTGTGACGGCACGTGGACTAGAGGCCGTCATACGGGTCGGGGTATTACAACACGTGGGCTCCCGGCCGTCACGCGGGGCGGGGTGTTATGGCACGTGGACTAGCGGCCGTTACACGGGCGGGGTGTGACGGCACGTGGGCTCCCGGCCGTCACACGGGACGGGGTGCTACGGTACGTGGATACATGACCCGTCACGTGGACCTTCACGCCAGTCTCCCGACGAGAGCGCTATTTATATGGACAGACATGGCGTCGTAGGCGCGTCGCGACCCTTCCGACTACGTCAGGTCATGGTGAAGTCTGCAATCCATGTGTTTTATCGGGGTAAGTGCAGTCACAAATTGATGGCATTTTCATGCTACGCCACAACATGGTTACCAGTGGGCAATGGTTTCACTCGTTGTTGTAGAAATACAACGCCGTAGGCGAGGTTCGAGCCAACTAGGCTGTGCTCCGAACCGACTGCGCCTGTCACATGACGGGAGCCAAGACCAGTGCCGTGACCCGGAGCCAAACCCATCACCGACGTGGACAGCATCTGACCGATCGGGGGCGTAGAAAAAGAAAAAAAGAGTGAGAAGACCCCAATACCAACGTGATGGATTCCTGACCGAACGGGAGTGCACCAGTAGGTTGTCGTAGGGCCCGACCAGAGCATAGAGCCTTCCGAGCAAACGGAAGGAACCCAGGGTCCTGAAGGAGGCCTGTTCCCTGAGCACGGCTCCTGAGCGATCGGGAGTGCTGGGCAGGTGTACATACACGTGGGACCCAACAACAGTCCGTATCAAGTCCGATGAAATGGGCAGCTGAGCGATCAAGATTGCCTGAGACCTTCAAAGAAAGGGTCCCTGACAGGAGTGTAGAATTCAGTAAATAAGATCTTCGTAAATCAGGTCAGATCAGATCAGATCAGATCTTCGCAAATCAGAGTAAACTGAAAGAGCCCTAAACCAAAGTGACGAGACCCCGAGCAACCGAAAGGACTCGGGTGGGTTGACGTACTGGCCCGAGACAATGGCGAACAGAGCCATTGAAATAAGTCGCGGAGGGCCCCTGATCACGGACGGCCGCCGAAGAAGGCTCTGGCAAGTTAGCAACGCCCTAACAGCAGCGTGGCGCACTGAGCAAATGCACAGAAATCCGGGGCGACGTGGAAGCGATGGAGGCGGCCGGGGCAACGTGGAGCCTGATCGGAATACCTGGCAGTACCCCGGTCTGCCCAACTAGTGACGGAGTACCCTGGCAAGTAGACATTCAGGGCTCTCGGCAACAGGGGAAGGCCCTTGGCAGCTTGGTGAGCCCAAAAATCACCCCGTCCGTTGCCATCTTAGCTGTCGAAGAATTATTTGTGCTTGCTCAAAGACGCTTTATTTTCGTGTGAGGGCCTTCGTGGTTGCCTAGAGGCTTAAAGACGTCCAATTTTTGCGTTTCATGTTAAGAACTTGCGTCTCTTCGGCCGGTTATTAGCTCCTTCGGAGCCCAAGAGGAGTTGCGGGGGGGGGGGGGGCGTGGCTACCTGAATGGCCGTGGTCATGCTCCGCCCCCCCCCCCCACCCCCCTCCTTGATCCAATACTGGTGGTGACTGCGTTCATTTGGCGTCCCAGGTGTGACGTAAACTTGCTGCCATTTTGTGCGCTTTATGCAATATCAGCCATGGATATACCCCGTTATTCATATAGTGGAGAACTGTCCCTGTCTGTGTATCCAAACCTGGCATAAATATCCGTAAACAATGCAACTCGTGGTCGTTCTGCGGTCAGCCAATTAATCTCCGCAATGTTTGCCAGCGGGCAGAAAAACACCTGGGGGCCCGCTGCAGGCGCACGCGTGCCCCCGGAACTGGCGGCGCTAGCAGCGGCAGCTGTGCTCATCCGTCACCGGCCTGGCCGTCGGCACCGGCGCGTGCGGCCCACGCGGCCCGGCGCGCCCGTCGACACCGTCGCGTCGGTCGCGTGCGTCGACGGCTCCCGCGCCGCGCACGTGGGGCACCGACGGTCGCCGCGGGAGAGCACCTCCCGCCGTCGGCGGCGCACGCGGCTGGCCGGCGACAGGACGCGCGAGCTCGGGCCGACGCCAGGCCGGCCGGCCGGAGATGAGGTGTCGGTGACGGTCGCTGAGTGTGCTGCAGCAGGTGTAGCCCCGCGTGGATTATTGCCACAGGAAAAGTGCAGATGCACTGTTGGAGGACGCTGACATGCTCAAGCGTTGTCTTGCTGAACCGGTGGACTACCATAGCAGCGTGCGCGCTCTTCGGTTGTTAAGCGAAACGTGTCGTTCGCAGTTCATTCAGGTATTTGCCAAGTACTTAATTGTTGATCGTAGCAGATGTGTTTTTGAAACGCGCGTGTCATAATCCCGTCCATAGCACTTGTCCTGTAATGATGCTCATCAACACAGCGCGGGCAGTAAGTTGCACGCCACCTCCGCTGGACTGCATCTGAGATCGAACGGAGACGGAGATCTTTGGAATGAATGAATGAGTGCTGTGGAATTGAGATGTTAAATGAATGCATAAAGACATGTGCCCTATCTCCGACACGACTGCCAACTTTTCCACTTTCAATTGGCGGTAGACGCTCCCCCACCAACATCTCATGAACCGACAAGCCGATCGAACTGATTGAAACTGAATAAAGATACCTGTGAGTCGCGCGACCCAGCACAAGCCAGTTCGCTGATATGCATGTCACTGGTGATATCACGGGTCAGATGAAAGGTCATGGCTTTCAGGAGTAGTTCTAAAAGGACATATCCGTTTACAGTCACAATAATAGGGCTTGGCGCGCGCCCGGGTTTTCAAAAGTTTTTTTCAAATTGAAGGTTTCTGCAAAATAATTTTCAAACGGCGTGGCGCTGCCGCGCCAGACTTTGCACATCTGAAGGCTTTGGAAACGCGGATCTTTTGGCATAAAGATGATATGTACCTTACAGGGTCACCGACGTATGGTAAGCCAAAGTTAGGTCATGGCTGTCAGCAAGGACAATTTCTGGGAAATCGATCAGTTTGATGCTACAAGGAAATATAGCATCAAATTTACACCGCTTTGCCCTTGTTTGACCTTTTTTGACCCAAATGTATAACAAGGGTACAAATATACATGTCCTGTGAGCCTCGAACTTTGATAAAAGCGAGTTCACATACAGGCCAAGCAGCCCTGTGAATTTAGTGTCTTCAGTCCGTTAGTATATGATACATCAGGGGCCTATTTGCCCCCCCCCCCCCGACCACCCACACCTGAACGAATGATATTTAACCAGCTTCCTGTTAACTGCAGTCATAAGGATGACACGCGGCGCCTACTGCACCAGTGACGTACACCTTTGCGGGTTACCTCACCACAGTACCGCTCCTGGTCAGGCCATATCGAAATATTTGGACGGCTTTGTCCTGAAACATCATTTGCGGCCCAATTATTGTTGGGCCACGGTGGCGCCCACCATTGTTAACGCGTATACCCGCGCTTTGGTTTATCTTTCACTGATACGCAGTACAATGGATGAATGAAAATGGCCCGTCTTTTTATACACTACCCGTCAGTAGACAAGTTTATTGGTCTGCATGTCTGAAGTGGTACCAGGCCGAGAAGTCATATACCGCTTTGTAATCAATGCAAACACGTGACATGCTTCACCATGCCATTGATGTGAAGAGATGATGGATTGCCTTCATTATGCCATGTTAACAGTAAGTACCCACTAAACGGTGCGGTGAATTCACGTCACCCAAGACTACCTAGAGTTTTAGTTGACTTACCAGCGACACGATATTGTTCCACATCGCGACTTATTGGTAAACTGCTGCCCCAAATTATCTCGCTTAAATATGACGCACATTCAGCGTTGAAATGTGTGACGTCACTTTGACACGACCCAGACAACCTGGAGCTCAAATTGGCTGCTTTGATCGCGTGACACAAAATGCTGATGATAAGCAATATTGAAGCCCGATGCAGCATCAGAACTATAAGAGAGGTTTGAGAACTGATTATGTTCCAAGCCGTCACTTTTCGAAGTCTCTGAGACATGATCTGAGACGGCCTGCCCTTGTAAATAAAGTGTCACAGCCTTATAACGCTTACTATGTGTCCCTGCATCGTGGTACATTGGCGTACGATCACTCGCCGTAACTTAACTAGTGCTAACGAAGTCCTCATGCATTGAACTA